CCACAAAACGCAGACTCAAATGAGAATAGGGTCCGTGTATCATCCGTTCATTTGATTATTCCTTTTATTACGGAAAACGAAACATCAGAAAAACGATGAATATTTCGTTGTTCTGTTTATTCTGTAGGCAGAAAAAACGGAAACTCATCTGTTATTCTGCTTATTAACTTAAAACGACATATTAAAACAAACACAAAACCAAAACGAAATAATGAGTCAAAAAATGGTCCGTGTACGGTCCGTGTACATTTTGTTCATTTGTTTTCCATTTTCAAACGGAATAAAGGAAATGGAGAAAACGGCCGTTTTTCCGTTTTTCTTTTGCTCACGAGAAAACGAAAAAACGAGATTTTGGCTGGATTTTCGTTTTTTGGTTTAGGGTAGGAAAACGGATAAACGACTTTAAAATTCATTTTACACATGTAGGCGGTGCTGAAACGCCCACTTTCCTCTAAATGGTTAACCAAATCTGCGCTCGTGACGTCACCCTCAAAATAAAAGCCTTACACGCAGGCTTTTAATTATTATTATTTAATTATATATTAACTAAGTTTACATATTCTATCATTTGAACCACACACAGTTAGCAGGCTTACATTCATTGCGTATGTATAAATTAAATAAAAACGTAAAGCAGTATTCTTAGACTTTGTCTTTAAAATAAGGTCATAGTTCACTGCCAAGCTTCTTGCTGCTGTGCACCTGATGCAGAGCAAAGATAGCCATTTCCGAGGAGCACCTGGTTAGCATGATTGTTTCAGAGCAAGGGCTTTATAATAATAATAATAATAATAATAATAATAATAATAATAATAATAATAATAATAATAATAATTATTATTATTATTATTATTATTATTATTATTATTATTATTATTATCAGTTACTAGTGTTTTTATTGTTTGGTGTGTTTTTTTTTCTTTTTAATAGTTGTTAGCAGAACCAGAATAAGAACACTTTGGGCCCTGCTATAGAAACAAAGGGTACCATTTGTTTTCATTTATTTCTTCCTATTTTAATTATATATTGTAATTATTTATTTGATAATTAATACTATTTTATTGCAACGCCAAAGTAGACCTGTCTTATTATTTTTTTTATTAAATTTGCTTTTATTGTAGGCTAGATGGCAGGCTTTAAATATTTTAAATAACATTTACTCATAACCTTACTAATTCGAGAGCCGAACCTAAAAATGTTTAAGTGCAATAAGCCTGTACAATAAAGGGAGCCGCAATGCATATTTCTAGCGCATTCTTTCACTCAACAATTATTGCTGGAATAATGAAATAAATTTCAAATTAACTAATTAAACACATTATAGTTGATAAAAAAAATTGTATCTAGTAGTTACCGACAAACAGATGAGCTCGCTACATGTGCGTTGCGCTAATAATTTGACATTTGCTCTTCTTGAGAAAGTGCTACAGCGGGCCCTGCTATTTCACATATAAGGTTAGTGATACGTATTTTAAATTAGTATTGCACATTATTCATTCATTTTCTTGTCGGCTTAGTCCCTTTATTAATCTGGGGTCGCCACAGCGGAATGAACCGCCAACTTATTTAGCAAGTTTTTACGCAGCGGATGCCCTTCCAGCCACAACCCATCTCTGGGAAACATCCACACATACACACACACTTATACAGTACGGACAATTTAGCCTACCCAATTCACCTGTACCGCATGTCTTTGGACTGTGGGGAAAACCGGAGCACCCGGAGGAAACCCACGCGAACGCACTACACTACTGAATTAGACACACAATCTCAAAAAAAAAAAACTTGATGCTTATTTACATTATCTAAAGTCATTTCTTACGAGGTAGGATCTGTTGTTGTATTATATATTTTCGTTTTAATATGCAAATAATTTTCTTTAATTTGTAATAGGCCTATTGTCCCTCATTGCATAAAATAACCTGCCTTTGTATTCAATATGTTTGTAAATTGTCCATCCAGTTTGACGCAAGCTAAACAACATTTTGGCCTGTTTTGCTTATTAAATGAGTGATTTTCACGGAGAAACAAATCATCCATCCACACAGTTTTGTATAGGACCCGTGTGAACAAAAATATACACTTCATCATAGCCTATAGGAAAATGTATCTGTTTAGAACCAATTTTTGTTGTATAATTAAAAATATTAAAAATACAATAAAAAAAAAGGAATAACATTTGAAGTGCAATGCTTCAAAGATCCAATACGCTGCATGCAGAGCCAAAACAAAAACTGGTTTGTTTGTTTAATAAAATAATAATATGAAACTAAAGTGAAATAGTTCCATAACCTGTATTATAACTGTAGTCACCCTAGATGACAAATCATCCGTTGCGCCGGTCAGTTTCACCTTTAATCAAGAATGTGCCAGAACCAAATGAGAATATTTACAGATTACCTCGGAATGAGACCTCGGTCTGTGAAGGATGCAGAACGCAGAAACTCGTTGAGAATGGAGATGCATGTTAGATGTTTTATATCCCTTTAGATATTGTAAATAAACAACAAGTTTTTATAGAGATTGTGTCATGTCTTTTCTTTGACGCACGCGGTGAACAGCCCCGAAAAGGCGCCTTTATTTAGCCTGTAGCCTAAATAATAGTTTAGATTTTATAACATATAATGTTCCATTACTTTAAATGTATAATGTTTTTTAATATTTATGGATTATATAAAATATATAGTTTATATAAATGCGCTCTGATCATTCAAGGATCATAATGCGTTGCATATTCTTCTTATTCTTCATTGATCCTTAAATTGTGTAGCTATATTTTATAAACTGATCGTTTATAAGGACTAAGCTTTTAATAACTGTAATTCCTCGAATTGAAAAGTCTTGATTAAAGAAAAAGAGAACTTAATTCGACATATGCATATAGTGCGCTTATTTCTGCGCGCATCGCGCGCTTTACCGAATTATCTTTTTTATTCTTTATGCACTATAAATGCATCTGGCAGCACCGAAAAGAGCAAATGCCAAGTTATTAGCGCAGCGCACAGACAGCTAGCTCGTCTAGTCTGAACCAGGGGTTTTCAAACTATTCATTGCACACCGATCCCATTGCATTTTATTTAGGATAAACCACTTATTTAAAATTAATTAATTAAAAGGTGCGTACTCTCCAATACACCACTGTAGTGTCATAATATTTAATAATTATAATTAAGATAGACACCTGACCTCCATTTAATAAACAATTTATTTGCCATACTCTGTTAATTTGAAGTTTAAAGTTTAAATCATTTATGTTAAACTTAAATTATTTAAAAACTTAAAAAGACTTAAATTTAGTCATTTAAGACATTTTAGGTCATAAGTTTACATACATTGACCGTTGCATTTAGTAGGCCTATTCTGGTCTAAATAAGCTTTTTGCATCTTAGGAGTTTACAAACACAAATTAAGCAGTTTATACGTACATTTAATTTTACTTTGAAATTACTTTTGATGCAATAAATAATCCTAAATAGTTGAAAGTGTTAACATATTCTTGAAATGTAGTTATTTTATAACTATATTTGCCAAGAAATAATCCACTTTACCACTGTAAAGCAATGCCCCACACTCACTAGAACGGAAGAACCTAGACTGTATGATATGTTCTGTATGTAAAATAGAGAAAATAAGCAAGATGCGCAGTCTCATGCAGCCTTAGTGAAATATAGCGCGTCACAGCAATGAACTAAAAATAAAACCACCCTTGAAATGCTGGCGATCTTAATTTTTTCAGCCTACACTGACTGAGAATAATGTTGCACTATTTTATTAACAAATAATTAGAATGTTTTTTTTCCCTTCAACACATTCATCATTACTTTTGCCTGTGCAAGTTTTTTTGCGCGCGCTTGAGCGCGAAGGCATCTATTTTCAGGTGCAAGATGCCACTTTGGGTGGCACCAGCACACTCTGCCACACCTGTGGCTATGTCCCTGCTACAATAATAATAACAACAACAACGACAAAATAATAACAAAAAAAAAAAAAAAAAATAAGACAGGCCTACTTTGACGTTGCAATAAAAAAGTATTAATTATCAAATAAATATTTACAATAGGCTAAAGGCATATATTAAATTAAAATAGGAGAAAATCCAATAGAAACAAATGGTACCATTTATTATAGCCCCATGCAGGGTCCAATGTGTTCTTACAACCATTGAATAACTAAGTAAGTAATAATAATAATAACAATACTAATAATAATAGGCCTAATAATAATAATAATAATAATAATAATAATAATAATAATAATAATAATAAATTATTATTTTATACAGAGTAGGCTATTATTTAGGCCTACAATAGCTCTGAAACAATCATGCAAACCAGGTGCTGCTCGGAAATGGCTTTCTTTGCTCAGCATCAGGTGCACAGCAGCAAGAAGCTTGGCAGTGAACTATGACCTTATTTTAATGACAAATGTCTAAGAATACTGCTGATTTACGTTTTTATTTAATTTATACATACGCAATGAATGTAAGCCTGCTAACTGTGTGTGGTTCAAATGATAGAATATGTAAACTTTGTTTATATATATAATTAAATAATAATAATTAAAAGCCTGCGTGTAAGGCTTTTATTTTGAGGGTGACGTCACGAGCGCAGATTTGGTTAACCAATTGGAGGAAAGTGGGCGTTTCAGCACCGCCTACATGTGTAAAATGAATTTTAAAGTCGTTTATCCGTTTTCCTACCCTAAACCAAAAAACGAAAATCCAGCCAAAATCTCGTTTTTTCGTTTTCTCGTGAGCAAAAGAAAAACGGAAAAACGGCCGTTTTCTCCATTTCCTTTATTCCGTTTGAAAATGGAAAACAAATGAACAAAATGTACACGGACCGTACACGGACCATTTTTTGACTCATTATTTCGTTTTGGTTTTGTGTTTGTTTTAATATTTCGTTTTAAGTTAATAAGCAGAATAACAGATGAGTTTCCGTTTTTTCTGCCTAAAGAATAAACAGAAAAACGAAATATTCATCGTTTTTCTGATGTTTCGTTTTCCGTAATAAAAGGAATAATCAAATGAACGGATGATACACGGACCGAATAGGCATCCATCATTTTGTTGGTCCCAAAAGTTGACAAGTTTAAAGGATGATAATAAGGTACACGTTATACTAAAGAAACTGTAAATATTAACATGTCTTCTTGTGTTCCCTCTGCTTGTAAATCTGAGGCTGTGTGAGTGTGTGAGACTAAAAGCGGCCGGCCAGCTCAGTCAACCCAAATCAGTCTAAATCCAACAGGATCAAGGCCACTATGACAGCAGTACCCAAAAAAGTCTGAGTGCAATACTGAGAAGCAGTAATTTCCTTCGGTGAACTCATTTACCCATCGTCTGTGGTCTGTTTCCCATAGGAGGATGACAAAGTTCAGCTCTTTTTCATGTGAGAAGCATGCATGTGCTGTACGTGTTGCTGTGTGTTAGGAGAGTTTCAGGTCTCCGAATGCTGCCAAAACAAACTCGAACATATCAGAGTTAGAAAGAATGTGCAGTTCTTTAGACATGCTCTAAAGATTCAAATCCAGTTGCAATAAAACATTCTTGAATAAAACAGAGATCACATATGTCCGGAGTCTGTGTGTGTTTGTGTGTTTGTGTATGTGTGTGTGAAGCTGTCAGCATCTCAGCTCAGACCGATGCCTTGCTGTTTGCTGGAATCTGTGCACACAAAGAAGGTTTTGAGTTCTCCTTTGCCCTTCACATTGATCAGGCCACGGCACTCACAGGAGTATCCCAGATTCTGCAGGACAATTGACGTCTCCTCGGTGACCTGCCACACAACATGTGTCTTAGCAAACACTGACTGCTATTTATTGTTTTTTAAAGGTGCAGTATGTAAGTTTTACGCCTAGTGGTTGAACTAGATATTGCTCTCCTGGTTCAAAGCACATGCAAGCGCAGGTTGCCAGACTGACAACCCCAACAGGACTGTGCCTGACTATTGAGGCTAAAGGCTGATTTAAGACTAATTTAAACCATGTCCTACATAAAAGCAAGTGCACGTGATCAAATTAATATTTTTCTATATTTAAAGGAGTTTTTGTCCTAACCAACATCTCAAATATATATTTTACAAACAGCGTCTATTTCCTGCAGCTGAACAACAGAATAAACAGACCATCTCAGGTATACCTCGTGTGCTTTATTCGGTGGTAAATGCTAATAATGTGTGTTCGAGTGCCATTTTACATAACACTTATTGTCATACTGCTGAATACAGCAGCAGATAGTTCATCTCAGACCTAGAAAATAAAATAAACAGCTTGAAACTGAACTTCAGAACTGTGACTTAGTGCAAACCAACACATATCAGTGATTCAGCATCTACATTTAATAATGTTAATGGAGTTTATAGTGTATTAATTAGATTATAAACCTGACCATTTTGTTGGAATGCAGTGAGTGCACTATTCTGAGCTTCTGAATGGCTGTATTTAAATTTCTGTTTTGTTTCTTCTGGTGCAAAGGGCATGAGGTTATATATGGTTTACGTTCGTAATATTGCTATTATTTGCTAATAACCACCTCATGTGGAACTCTGAATCTGCCTCTCATTTTGGAGTCTGCTACTGTACACTGTAGGTAGCATTTCGGTCACAGACACATACTTTGAGAATCTTCCTAACTGAATGAATAAAATGCGCTGTTTTCCACATAGGCAACCTGGGGTGCTGAAATATAATTGGCTAAACTGGCATTGGGTGAGTTAAAGGAACCAAAACAAAGGCATTCTGGCACGTAACACACATTTTCAAAGCAGAATATCTGACTTCAGCATTGTTTTTTAGATAAACGAGAATGTTCAATTAACATGGTTCTTAAATATCTGCAACGGATTATGTGTTTTTATGCTTTAGAAGATTCAAAAACTTACATATAGCACCTTTAATATGAGTCAAAATTATAATCAAAAATTAAATATTCATGAGAATTATTATCAAGCAGATCTAGAGAGCTGAAGGCCTGAAAGATGGATTCACACCTGTATTTTACCCAGCTCTCCAGTGCTTTCCATTCGGCTGGCCACATTCACAGTGTTTCCCCAGATATCATACTGTGGTTTTCTGGCTCCAATCACCCCAGCAATCACTGGGCCATGGTTTATACCTGCATCAAGGACGAAAGGGGCATTTAAACCATCACCAGAACAATAAACATGTAACAAAAAAATCAATAATTAAAAATGACTATCATACATTTTTACCAGGACTTACAAAAGACAGCCACTGTCATTTAGTTGAACAATAATGCAGTTTAACAATAATTCCTATTCCAAAACATCTTTTCAGGCATAGTAAGAGTAAGAATTATTTAAAGACAAATTAAAGGACTCTATTTAAGAACCACAGTGCAGCCCCAAAACACTAATCCATTATTTTTTAAAATCTTTATACTTTAGGCCTTACTGAATGTCTGCTTAATCCTTTATTTAATCATGGGTCATCACATCGGAATAAACCGCCAACTAACATGTTTTTTGCATTGAGACGGGCCTTTTTTGAATGGTTTACTAACGGGTACGAGCGTTTTAACCGCCTGCTGCGCCTTACGTTTTTGCTGTTGCGTCGTGCACTCGCATTTGAAAAAGTCAACACTGTGCAGAAAAAGCCTGTTACGTCAGTTGCGTCTTTTCACTCTCCAATCAAATGAAAGCAGAGATGGGGTTTTGTGTTGTCAATACCAACAGCAACACTCGCGCACAATACTCAGCTGATTTAGTCATTACCTAGTGACATAAAGATGCCCTTTCATAAACCCATCTCAATAGGAAACACCCATACACACTCTTTTACAGCCAATTTAGCTTGTTTAATTCACCTATAGCACATGTCTTTGGACTGGGGGAAACTGGAGCACACAGAGGAAACCCACCCTAACAAGGGGAGAACATGCAAACTCCACACAGAAATGCCAACTGACCCAGCCGGAGCTGAACCAACGAGCTTCTTGCTATGAAGCCATCGTGCCACCCACTGCGCCTATCATATTACAATTAATATAATATATTATGACATTATTTCACCCATTTTTTAATATTTGATAATTTGATTCATTTTTTTGCATTTGAATGGGGCCTATCATGCAAAACACTTTTATAAGGGGTTTAAATACAGTTTTGTGACAACAGTCTGTGAATACAACCAGCTTCTAATGGCAAAAATTTATTAACTTTTATTTTCACACCATAAAACAGTCTGCCGAAATGCTTTGATTGACATTCTCCATTTGTACATGTCATCAGAAAAGGAAAGCCCCGCCCATTAGTGACAATCTCTCCCTCATTAGCATAGGATGTTAGTCTTGTTTTTGAATCTGCTGACACATAGGTATTTGTAGTTCGACCCTCTTTTGAAAAGAATGCTGATAGCTATTTGTGGGGTATTTAGAGCTGAAACAAAGGCACATCAGCTCTTGTAAAAAGGGGCATAATATGCCCTTTTTAACATTTTCTATATAAATATAATACTTTCTGTGGATTGTATGTGATGTAGACACCAAAATGGGATACCCTGTCTCTAAGCCACCTGCACAAAGACACATACTGTATGCAGACCAATGAACAAATTCTCAAAAATGACATTAATATTTCTACATTTAAATTCAGTCATATCTCCATATGTACTATTTCTAAAGAAAATCTGTGGCTAAACTCAGCACTGGGCAGTTACTAGGCAAATATATTTTGTTGCTAATGTGTTGCAGATGGCTGATAGTTGATTGCTAACACACTTAGCACATTGTTGCTAGCTTATTTACAACAACTTGTAAAGATTGTAAACAGTAACAATTTATTATTTATTTACAATTAGTAGTATCAGTAGTACTTGTATATTGTGAGCAGCTCATGTGTAAAATAATAATCACACTGTGCCATTTGAGTTTTTTTGTCAGTTGGCCATTGGCTGTACAGTTGTGTAGGCTAGTCCCCCTGTGAACCTCATTATAACTGGCTCAGATATGATTGGCTTGCACTTATCTGAAGCATAACGCAGATCCATTAAGACAGCGACTCTGATTCTCAAGTGACTAAGGAATGTGTTTTTTAGAGGGGATTTGTGCCTGTTATTATAATTTTTATCAGATATTTGCCACAGATGGGTGATATGTTGTCAGACTCTTAAATGGAGCGCTTATGAAGCATTTCATGCCAGTTCCCGAGTGCATCTGTTATTGTTGAGCTGCGGGAGATGCCTGAGATCTCTCATGTGAGCTGCCTCTGTTTTTCAATGAGATTTTCAGCTAAGTTCCTTGTGTAATGTTTTCATTTTAACCTTTACATGTGCCCCATAAAAAATCTGGGTATAGTGTACCTAGGCATAGTCGAATAATAAGAGCTCAGTACATGGAAATGGATATAACGTGATCCTCAGACACAATTGTTTCCTCGTTCCAATGTAAATTCTGTGAGTGTAAAACCCTAGTGAAAAACAGGCTGATCAGAACACAATATAATTGCTCAGGGTCACAATTCACTTTAGGTCACGTTCTACATCAGCCTGACCTACATGAGAAGCTGAGTTATCAGAAAACATCAGCCAAATCACAGACTGTTGCATGATGGCATCATTAATATTAATGTCCAGGTTGTGTTTGATTGGCCACAACATTTCCTATAGTAAGAAAACAATAATGATCATTTTAATTCTTTAATTTGAAGTTTATCTAAACTATTATGTATGTGGGACTCTAATTTTGAATGAGAGACACAGCACAGACCCTTTAAATAAAGCCAATGGCAGCTGTACCAGATTGTTTTCTATGTGTTGCTAAGCAATGATTCTACAAGTCATTATTGGTTTGCAGTAAGTGTTGCCAGATTGGGCGGTTGTCAGCCCAAATGAGCGGTTTTGAATTTGATTGTGCGTATAAAAAATGGTATTAGCGGGATGACATAATTTGGGTGGTTTTGAAACTAAATTTTATATGCAACTTATTTAACAAAATGTAACTATGACCTTCTACTCCATTTATTTAGCAGTGACCAGTGCATAGCGCAAACTGCATGGGCCCACCTGCAAAAGGAGGTGAAGGAAAGTTGTGTCAAAATCTGCATCCCTGGAAAAATCTGACTTCCCTCCAAAAGCTTATGCATCCCGCAGTGAAGCAAGAACAAACACAGAAGCGTTTTGACAAGCAGCCCCTAATTTTGTTAAAAAAAACTTTAAAACGCCAAATTGGATGAATTTACACCCCATTTCGAAAGTAAAACATAAGATACTGTAATATGTAGTTTAAACTACCCAAAATTAAGTGCAGTGTGTGGGTGAGAGCGGGCAGTGTTTCAATGTGATGGGGTTATGTTGTGGTTTTCTGACTGCTGGTGTTGGTTACTGTATGGAGAAAAAAATTCTGACAGTTAGTAAAGTAACAAAGGTTAATTTTAATTTAAATAAATAGAAATCCAATCAAATATTATATATATATATATATATACATATATATATATATATATATATATATATATATATTGTGCGTTTGAGCGGGATTTGGACAGCTTTTGAGCAGGAAAAAGTCAGCAATAAAAAACCTATATCTGGCAATGTTTAAATTTGTTTAAATTTGTTTTTATACTGATTTTGATAATGCTTGCAATGTGGGAGCAAGTTTTTGGACAAGGACAGAACATAAATAAAGACAACTGATCTATATTCAAGTTAGGGCTGCACAATATATAATTTCAGCATCGTTATCGCAATGTGTGCATCCGCAATAGTCACATCGCAGGATATGCAATGTTAGGATTATAGTTTAATATAGAGTTTAATCATAATGAAGTAAAAGTTTATCATCTGCATGCATTTTTAAAGAGATAGTTCACCCAAAAATTACTCTTTAGTTTTCTTTTTTTTAAATAAACACAAAAAGAATCTAATTTAATAACTCCTATAGTATTGAAACAATTGAAGTGTGAGTAAATAGTGAGTACATTTTAATCCTTGAGTAAACTATCCCTTTAAGTTTATTTCAATATTTAAACTTTTAAAACATCAGGCCAAAAGACATTTTTTCTAACTTTAATAAAGATTAAATAATATACAATGAAGACTATGCAGTGTTGATTATTCAATATCTGTACCTGAATAGTAAATACCAGAAAACTATAATTCACTTTTATCTTTACTACATTTTATTTATCCATGCTTGTATTTATTTGTTAAATATTATTGGAGATTCACTCCTCTACAAAATCCTCCTAATCAATCCAAATAAACCTGTTAAATCATCTGGTGAAATTGTATTCACTTCGCAATATATATCACAGAAATATAAAATATCGTAAAGTCAGACCAACACATGTAGACTGCTAAGTATAGGGTTTAAAGCACACTTATGCATTCTGTCATATCCCTCAGCTCTTACTGTCATTTCTCTGGAGTGAAAGAATAGCAATGCTCTTTATTAAAAGTCTTCTGTGTGCAGATGTTGGTATTAAATCCTGGCTGTTTTTACATTTACATTATAGCTTAAAAATAAAACATAATACATCTCTGTTAATCTCTTTTGTCAAATTTTATTACAATTTAGCCTATATTTTATCCACAACACAATTGGGGAGCAACATATGTTACTCTAGTGGTTTTATTAAATAGCTCACTCACTCTCAGCTAAAATAAACCTCTCCACCACAGAACTTTAAAATATTTAACACAGCATCTATTCCATCAAATATTTTTTTGACAAATTAAGTATGTTAATATTATTTTGCACATGTTTGTTTCAGAGTGCATCATGCTGTGTGTGAGTGAGAGAGAGAGAGAGGAAGTGAAAGAGAAAGCAGGCATGGAGAGCTGCGCGTCAGAGCAGAGCTCAATAATATTCACTCTTCTAATTCTAGGAGCGTTTTTTGGGGTAATACTCTAAATGAGAATATAAAACAATTTCTGGAAAATGTTTGATCTTATCTAAGCCACATAATGCTATGTAGATATCAAAGAAAAATTGTTCTTAATGAATCAATGCAGTATATGGCATCTTTAATGCAGAGTTTGCAAAGTGAGTCACCAAGTTAATTCAGAACCCAAACAGTAACTAAGAGATGAACACTGACTGAGAACTGAGTTTTGTTCACTTACCAACACGAAGCCTGAATGTGTTGAAGGAATGCCTGTTTATGCCATCCAATTTGCCGATTAGAGCGATGGCGAACTCCACCATGTTTCCTATCTGTGCATTCTGCCGCTCACGGTCCTGGAGGCAAACACAACAGAGCCGGTCAAGCACAAACTACACCACAGATACAGTCATTATGGAGCTCCTAGAATACTCAGGGTGACTAGAGGTCAGAGAAGTAGATGACCTGCATAAATAAAAGGAACTTTTCTTTTCATTTGGTTGTAAAATATGCAAGCTACTACCTTTATAATGCCATTCATTAAGGGCACCTCATTCACAAGCGCTGGACAGTCTTGAAAAGATCCTTTTCATTTACAGTACCATAGTACAGTCAAGGCGAATTGAAAACCTGGCACGAGATTCTTGGAATGGATAATTACTTTTAGTATGTTAATTCTCAACTATGTTCACTTCTCATGCAAATCTCTAAAGTAATTGATATTCAAGAAAAGATTTGTTAATTCAAGGACCTGTCACTGTAATTACAGGCAGCAGCTTACAATGATGAACAAAAAAACATCAGTCCATTTAAGTTCTGTTTCTTTCAGGCTTTTGAAATTCAATTTCATTATAGATTTTTACTACTGAATCAAACAAAAGTTTGAGGTTAAAACTCTGCAAATGTTCTGTTGCTATGCAACAGTCATGACAGCAATCCTTATATGGCATATTTATTAATATAGAAATATAACTTCATAAACATTTTGTTTCTAGATAATGATTTATTGTAATAATCCACCAGTTAAAAAATAATACCCTGTCTACATTACATGCAATTGGCATTTAAAACAAAAATTACAAGCTGCACTTAGTGATAGCTCTTAATTCGTGACACATCTGGATGAATTTTTTTAGGAAAACTGTTTTGAAGGTTTCTTTTAGTTTTTTCTGGTGGACAAGAGTAAAAAAAAAAATCAACCTTCGATAAAGACACATTGCTCATCACTGGTATTACATCCACACGGTGGAGAAATGGTGCATGTCTCCAATGAAATATAAGCATAGATGACTTGTTCGCCAGATCAGCGTGATTTTTAATTTTGATTTTTATAACAGAGTTATTTTTTTTATTTTAGATTACATGTGTGAATTAATTTGATATATCAATTTTATTTGCAAAACATTTTTTTTTGCAAGTATTTAAATTACACATGGCAACAGTAAGCCAAGGAAAATGAAGGGCTGGCTGATTGCTGCATACTGGCATACTCAAACTGCCCACTTTCCATATGGCAACAAAAATGTTAGATAATAGTAGGACAGCAGAATTGCACAATTTAACAAAGTCAACAGGTTTCCCAACTTTGATCTCCAGTTCTCCAGTGAGAGCATGGCTCTTCACATTCTCTTAAATATTAAATACATAAATCACATGTTGGGACAGTTAATAAGTTAACCCAATTAAATCATTTAGACATTTTTTTGAATGAATTTGACTTGAAATTCACATTCAAATTATTCCTCTATAAATCCCACCTGGTATAAGCATGCAACACTCTTATTTTATCATGCTCTAAATCACTTTCTCCAGAGTGCCAAGTGTGATACATGTGTCACTGAACAAAGAAACTCCTGTTTGAGAAAGTGAGCGAATAAAAAAAAGATGACATTGGCCACAAGTTACATTTTCAACTACCTTTTCTATTGGAATCTATGTGTTCGCAAATAAAGTATGAATATGTTATTTTTGGTTTACTTACAAGTTGCACAATGATTGTGTCAGGTCAGTAGGCATAGAGTAGGTACTCTATCATGTCTATTCAAAGAGATTGAGTTTGAGCTTTTTCTTATGATGAACACAAAGTTAGATATTTGGAAAAATGTTGGAAATGGTAACCACTGACTTCCATAGCATTTTTCCTACTATGGATGTCAGCAGTTACCTGTTTCCAAGATTTTCAAAAATGGTCTTTTGTGCTCAAAAGAAAAAAGAAACTCAAACGTTTTAAACCACAGTAAATTGTAATTTTTATTTTTGGGTAAACTATACTATCAAATGCGAACAATCACATTAATGTTTACAATTAGAGTCGGCCCTGTACATTTAGGGGCCCTAAACAAAATAATTTTGGACCCAACATTGCTCTAAATAGTGGAGTACTGCCATTGCAAACCGGCCCACAATGACTTTATTGCTTATTAAATACAACCAAAGAAACAGAAAAGTAAAGCCTGATTTCTTCTACTTAATAACTGTCTGAAAGATTTGGACATTTTAAAACAGCACTGTTTTTGTCAACTAGTAGATTCAAAAATGAAGAATTAAACAATCTTTAATACAGGGACCAGTGATTCCTACTTGGCATTCTTCTAGAGTGTTTAAAAGATATTCTATTCATTTATCAGATAGGAAATTCTATAGCTTAATAATTTAGGTTGAGTGTCTTATAAATTAGTTTTTTGAGATGCAGGATACATCATCATAAGCACTTAAAAGCAGTGCCAAAAATGACTTTGTGTTTGTCTCTCCTCATCATTTTTCCCCTCAGTTTTTTTACGCCTAAAGAATAACAATAGCTTTATTTAATTTTCGAGATTTAATTTCCAAAATAAATCAGGTATATAATAGGGGCAGGCAATGAAGCAAACACCATGGCTGTGTCTGTGCACAGATTTGTGTTCTTATGGTGAACGGTTGGTCTTGCAGGTTACCTTGAAAGAACAAAATCAACTGCGAGATCAGAATGCATATGAGAAATGAAATGCTGTGAGCTACCTGTTGATATGACCTTAATTTCGACTTTAGTAAAATTATGATTTTTTTTACTTTTCAGAAAAATTATAAATATTTAAGTTCTAAAGCACTGTCCATGAAGATAATATGTAAAATGCAAATAAAACGATTTCAGCAAGGAAACGGCTCGCACCACTAGCGTGTTGTGGGGGCCCTCTAGTGGTTGTCGCTTAGTTTGCTTAGTTAGCAGGGGTGTCCAAACTTAGTCCTGTAGGGTTGGTGCCCTGCAAAGTTTAGTTCCAACCCCAAATCAAACACACCTGGGCTAGCTAATCAAGCTCTTAAGCTGCGTTCACACTGGGCTATTCCTCCCATAGACTTCCATTCAATGCGTCAGACCGGAAACACAGGGTCATGCGTCAAGTTACGCAGGTTGCTGTGGTGCAAAGTTCAAGCTTGGTAAACTCTGACCTGCGAAATCGCATCACTTGACTGCGTGAGACTAATCGAGGATCAAAACATGACATCTCTGGACAGAATTTTAAAACATAGAGCAATCTCTTGCTTTTAAAAATGTCTAATAAACTTGTTTAATCCCGCCCCTTTTCGTAGCGCCGCACGACAGAATATCGCATGCTCAAACTCTAATGTGACCGCAGCTTTACTAGGCTTTCTAGAAACAACCGTGCAGGTGTGTTGAGGCAAGTTGGAGCTAAAATCTGCAAGACACCTGTTGGCTATGTTCACAATACAAAATCAATCTGATTAGATGTTTTTAACTAACTCTGAAAGTGATCAAGCTCAAACATATTATACAATATACAATTACATTGTTATCAAAATGAAAGCAAACTCAATATCCGGTACACTGAGCCCTGGGTGTTTGTTTCCTGCAATACCTGGTTGCTCTGCTCTGGAGGTCCACTCAATCCTGCAGCCGCCATGTATGTGCTGCCAATGGTTTTAATCTTCTCCACACCACTGAACTTGGGTTTGGACAGCAACTGCGGGTAAGCAGAGGAAAGAAGAGTTGAGTGCAAGTCATGCCATGATGTTATCTTTTAATAAAGAAAATGAGAGGAGAATAAGGATGCAGAGCAGCCATATAACAAAGAAACTCAACACTAGCAATAAGAAGCAAGCCGAGCATGGACCGGGCCTATATTTAGATCATTCTGGATGAATCAGGTCACTGCCCGAATTGTTTTGCAAAACAATAGTGTAGTCAGTCAAGGTGGTGATCGCCTACAAGTCCAAGCCCTGATGCCTCATCCTCAATCTCACACAATGAAGCAGTTGAACTGATGTATAAGTGTACTTTTGCACAATGGCTACCTCATTCCAACAAAGCAATCAAATAAAAGCTAAGGTGACACCCTTACATGTTGTCAGAAGCAATGTGATTCATCCATTCATTCAGGTAATTAAAGGAGAATATAGGGAGTGTAATATAAGGAGAGCAGAGAAAACCACGACAAACACATGTTGCGAGACATGAGATGTGACATTGCTCTGACCTCATCAAAGTCTGCGATGATCTCATTGAGCAGCCTCAAACACTCCAGGCCTTCTTTGTTGATGTCACACTCAGTGTAGAACTCTTTGAAGTCCGGCACAGAGGCAAACATCACACACACGCAGTCGTATGACTTATAGTACAGGTCCTGGAGGAGAGCATCAGAAAGACATGTGCAGGAAGAGTTCAGCGCTTCTGTGCTCAAATCATTCGCAGGTAAAGAAACAACCAAAACATGTGACACGAGAGGATATTCACAAACTCACACATGATGAGGTAACAGCTGAAAAATGATAGATATGATATATGATACATGATGCGAGTGTTTTGAAGAACGTGTTTACCAAATGCACTCAATAAGGAATTCCACAAGACTAAATGTACTGAGGTATCTGATGAATTTTTTCACAAACAAAACACTGACATATTAGACAAAAATAGATCAAATGGACAGGGCTAGTTAACTGTTTTTGAGAGAATTTAATACTTATGTTCAATTGATTAAAAAAAGAATAAAGACTTGAAATAATAAAGAAATAAAATAAAGAATAAAAAATAAATCAATAAATGTTCTGTTAATTTTTTGTTTTTCTGCATTTCCCAAACAACGACATAACTCCTGGATGAACTATCATAGTACGATGCATTATTTGGGAAAAGAACAGTGTAGTGACCAGTGTTTCCCAAAACCGTAGTTACTTTGTCACAGATCTATCGTTTGAACCACATTATCTATGTAAAACACCCATAATGATGCTCTAAACGGGGTGGACTAACAACTTCTTTAGAGAAAAATTCCATAATTTGTTGTGCAAATTATATTGTTTTACTCGTGCATACATTTTTCCAATATTAGTTTTGGTTAAACATGCACTCGTTTTTCATATTAATTTAAATATATGTAAACAACACATATAGGACCTATAGTTCATAATTATTAAAACCCCTTTGATTTTTTTCTTTTTTTAATTATGTCCTAAATGATGTTTAACACAGCAGGGAAATTTTCACAGTATGCCTGATAATATTTTTTTCTTCTGGATAAAGTCCTATTTGTTTTATTTCAGCTAGAATAAAAGCAGTTTAAAATTTTTCAAAAGCCATTTTAAGGTCAAAATTATTAGCTCATTTAAGCTATATTTTTTTCGATAGTCAACAGAACAAACCATCATTATACAATAACTTACCTAATTACTCTAACCTGCCTGGTTAACCTAATTAATATTGTAAAGCCTTTCACTTTTTTAAATGTCACTTTAAGCTGTATAGAAGTGTATTATTTACTGTCATCATGGCAAGGATAAAATAAATCAGTTATTAGAAATGAGTTATTAAAGCTATTATGTTTAGAAATGTGTTGAAAAATCTTCTCTCGGTTTATCAGAAATTGGGGAAAAAAATAAACGGGGACTAATAATTCTGACTTCAATAGTATATATATATATGTGTGTGTGTGTGTGTGTGTGTGTGTGTGTGTGTGTGTGTGTGTGTGTGTGTGTGTGTGTGTGTGTGTGTGTGTGTTTGTGTGTGTTTTACATTGTATGTAATGTAACGTAAATTCTGCTTTTAACACCTGTTGCTTTTGTCATGAGCCACAGCTGTGTACAAAATGTTTTTTTAAAGGGCACTGCGAAGGGAACACAGTTGTCAATATGAAGATCTCTTAATCTGAACAGTAAAAACACTTTGAAAACAAATTATACCTAAGAGTGATGACTTTAATGTTTTTTTTAATAATTTCAAGTTTAAATGTTAGAATGTTCTACATGAATAGGGCATAGGGGGATAACGGGCAATAGAACACAACCAGGAACTATGCTTCTAACTACAGCTCTAAAGGTGTAGTTGCAAGCGTACAAGTTTGCGATGAAGTTTGTGCAAGTTTGTAGGAATTTGGATGTTTGTAAAGACAGAACTTGTGACCTCAGTTAGCTAACGATGGCATTCGGAAACTCACCCCTTAATATTAAAATGATTTCTGATGGCTCAAAATATATTAATATTTTCATTTTAAAATGTAATTATATTCTATAATATAACATATTTATTTTATCAAAAAAATCCAGCCTTGTTGACTAAAGCAGTCTGTTTTTAAATACATAAAAATCTAACAACAAACTCATCAATTCAATAAATGTTTCAGGTATGTTTTCTGACCTGACGTTTTGAATCTTTCTTAACTATATGAGGTGCAGTATAAACTGTGGTAGAAAATAGTTGAGAGGCAACTTAAATTACAATATGAACTCTGTGAATAGTGTACATTGTTATGGCACAGTATTACATTGGAATGGTATGAGGCAATATTGTATGATATGATACTGTGTGGCATATGGCAGTGTTTCCCAACCTTTTTTGTCTAATACTATTGTCACAAGCCAATCTGCAAAGCTATAATGAACACTGATTTGTTTTCTTTCTTTAATAATCATTACCTAAATATCTGGAAACCATAACACTACATTATTACATATCTGTGTTAAATATTTAACAAAGCTGCTCATATTGCTTACAGATACCCCCGGTTGGGAATCACTGGTATATTTCTGGTCTTGAATGGGAGACAGAGGGAGGTGATAAACAGGCTCATCCCGCTCATTCGAAGCCAGTTCCTACCTTGTATTTCCGGTTTAGTAAAGAGATAGCGGACAGCAGCCCCACCTCATTCTTTTTGTTCTCGCCCACGAAGAGAGCAGCCACGTGCGCCGGGAGAACGTTTTCCAAAAGGAGACGGTTCAGGTTTTCACACAGCTCCACTTCTTCCTTATCGGCCAGGTTCTTGTTCTTCAAGAGAAAGTCTTGACGGCAGCAGTACTCGTTCTGAGAGGAACAGAGAGGACCTGATTTTCTCTGCTGGGACAGTGCTGTGCTCTTGTATAATATGTGTTGTGTGTGTGTGTGTGTGTGTGTGTGTGTGTGTGTGTGTGTGTGTGTGTGTGTGTGTGTGTGTGTGTGTGTGTGTGTGTGTGTGTGTGTGTGTGTGTGTGTGTTTACCTGGCGGGATATGAGCAGCATGGTAAAGAGAAAAAGTGTGATGTAGATGCAACTCATGATTTTTGGGTGCTTCATCAGTCCTGCCTTGCACACCATCAGACTGTCCCCACTACAACAAACAAACACCGGACATGACTTTACTTGAGGCGCAAAATATTACAATATTGACCAATGTCCAAAATTTATTGTATAGCTTTTTATTTATTTTTTTATTTTATAGTTTTATATTTCTAATTTGAAAAAGAACTTTAGGCCTGCAATAAAAAAACATGAAACAATGACTTTTCCTTGATTTGAAGATGCAAGCCAAATAGATCAATTAAATAAATGCAAAAAAGACCACCAGCTTCAAAAATATATATTTAATAATTACAGAACTACATGCATAAATATTAAATTGAATTCCTGATGTTACAATACTGGACTTTTATCTATAAAAGGATCTCTTTACTCTATCCAGCTGCTCATTCAAACACTTATAAGTTAAATATGCACTCTGGCAACCATATATTCCATACTGGATTATAAACCCTATAAACAAGCCCCGTAAAGTATCATTAGCAGTTTATATAAAATTAGTTAATCATAAATGTGGGGCATTTACTCACTGCAAATTGCTCTGAAACCTGAGGTTGTAGAAACCAAAGCAGAACTTTTGACTTTTTCCATCCAGCTCTCCCATTTATTTCAGCAAAAATCAGCTTTTGAAGTTTAATCATTGTACTAAGGTGTTTCCTGAATCTAGTTTTCTGGCACCTGTTTTTCAAGCACCAAAATATATATTTTAATGTAGGGCTGCACAATATTGGAAAAATTTGATATTGCTATGTTTAGTTTTTCTGTGATATATACAATGTTCAGCATATATAAGTACACCTCTCACAAATCTCTCTTTTTAATTCATATTTTTAATAGGAAGCTTTACAATATTTGTGCAAATACATTAGATTAGTCAGTACTGAAGCCAAATCTGGAGCTTATCTAAAAAAAAAAAAATACGACAATAGTCCAAAAACTAGTACAGCCAAATATATGGTACAGAAAAATATTAAATACAAATTTTAAAAAAGAGGAAAAATCAAGAAAAACAAAAAACATTGAAATATTTAGTTGAAATTTTGTTGATTCTATTTTTTTTTTTTTGCAATATTTTGCTAAAATTTAATTTTATTATCTTTCAATTTCTAAATATGTTTGGTGACTAAAATATGATTTTAACAAGTATATATGTTTAAGAAATATTTTTTGTTTAAATGCACCAAAATAGATTGCCTTAATTCACTTAGAAATGGAGGAAAATATTGGGCTGTACTCAATTATGCTGAGCGCTGTATTTCGATTATAAATATAATTTCACTAGATAATTTGAATAGTTCTATTAGGAAAGATTTCATTCATTTAGATCGACTGGTATAATCGAGTCTTTGTCTATGCAGTGCATTTGTGTAAATCATAATAACGTACAACCATACACAAATACAACAGAGCCAAAAATAGTGAAAGTGAAATAAACCGTGCTTTATGGTTTTCTGGAGAGTCTAACAGTGGCCAGGAACAAAAAATTAATAATCAAACAAAAAGCAAAGCCATCATTGCATAAACTGTTTTAAAATAACAACATCTTCATCTTTTAATCTTTAATAAATAATCTAATTCTGCTATGTGACTATTGTGGATACACACAGTGCAATATCAGTGCTGCAAGATATATTGTGCAGTCCTATTTTAATGTTAAACATTAAAAGAAGATGTATACATTAAACATTCATTTTTTTCACTTCTTTATGCCTAAACATATTTTACAGTTTGCACACAGCTATTTACATTTGAAAATGTGGGTGAAATGCACCGTTGAGCTCTTCATATACCTGTATACAATTAAAGTCAAAATTATTAGCCAACCTAAATTATTAGGCTCCTTGTTTATTTTTTTTCCAAATTTCTGTTGGATGAAAAGAAGATTTTTTTCGACACATTTCTAAACATAATAGTTTTAATAACTAATTTCTACTAACTGATCTACTTTTTCTTTGCCATGATGACAGTAAATAATATTATATTAATATATATATAATATAATATATTAATATATAATATTAAAAAATATAGCTTAAAGAGGCTAATAATTTTGACCTTAAAATGGTGTTTAAAAAAAAACTGCTTTTATTCTAGCGGAAATAAAGATAATAAGACTTTCTGCAAAAGAAAAAAATATTATCAGACACACTGTGAAAGTTCCTTGCTCTGTTAAACATCATTTAGGAAATATTTTAAAAAGAAATACTAAATTCAAAGGAGGGGGTGGGGGGGGGGGGGCAAATAATTCTGACTTCAACTGTACATATAATGTTTAAATTTTATTTTGTCTAAATAAATGTAAAAGTAAAACAAAACAGTACAAATGAACTGTTTTAAATTACATTTAACTGCATTTTCAAATTTGAAAACATTTAAGTGAGAAATAAATGTCATCTAAGGTATTATAAATATGATATTAAAAGATATACACTACCAGTCAAAAGTTTGGGGTCAGAATGATTTTTAAATGTTTTAAAAAGAGCTTCACTCGCTCACCAAGGCTGCATTCATTTCATCAAAAATACAGTACAAATTTTAAAATTGCAAAATGTTATTGACTGTAAAATAACTATTCAAAAGTAGCTTATAATTTAATTATATCATTTATTCAAGCGATTTTAAAGATGCATTTTCAGCTTCATTACTTAAGTTTTCGAAATAACATGATCCTTAAGAAATCACTATATTAATATTATATTTAGTTTTAATTGTTGTTCATTCATTCATTCATTTTCTTGTCGGCTTAGTCCCTTTATTAATCCGGGTTTGCCACAGCGGAATGAACCACCAACTGATCCAGCACGTTTTTATGCAGCGGATGCCCTTCCAGCCACAACCCATCTCTGGGAAACATCCACACACACACACACACACACACACACACACACAGACACACACACACACACACACACACACACACACACACACACACACACACACACACACACACACACACACACACACACACACACTATGGACAATTTAGCCTACCCAATTCACCTGTACCGCATGTCTTTGGAATGTGGGGGAAGCCAGAGCACCCGGAGGAAACCCACGGGAATGCAGGGAGAACATGCAAACTCCTCACAGAAACACCATCTGAGCCGATGTTCGAACCAGCAACCCAGCGACCTTCTTGCTGTGAGGCGACAGCACTACCTACTGCGCCACTACGTCGCCTTTAATTGTTGTTGTTATTATTTATTATTATTATTATTATTATTATTATTATTATTATTATTATTATTATTATTGTTATTATTATTATTATTATTATTATTATTATTATTATTAGTAGTAGTAGTAGTAGTAGTAGTAGTAATAAAAGCAATAATGACTGGAGTAATAATTTGATCTCAAACTATATACAATAATAAAGCAGTTATTTAAAATTTAAAAAAAATATTTAACAATAAAAAAAAAAATTACATTTAAAAAAAAAAACAATTGTCCCCAAACTTGACGGGAAGTGTATGCAATGTCTCGATATAAGACATGTATTTGTGAGTTTACCAGCTGTGGTTGGTGTAGAGCAGGCAGTTGTAGTTGCTGAACAGATTTTCCTGAGAGTAGAGGATGATGGTGTAGGAAACAAGGGAGACGATGAGAAGGAAGGCCAACTTCAGCTCAAAACTCACCCTCAAAAACACGCCACAGGCGATCAGTGCCAATATACAATTGTAAACCAAATACTGTAAAAACAATACAAACAAGACTTAAATTAATATAATATTCACTATTAAGAGAATATATTTTTCTCTATGTTGGTAATAATATATACATTTGAAACCAGAGGTTTACATGCACTGTATAAAAAGGCACATAACAATCTTTTTAAATGTCAGCTGTTAAATGTGACTAAACCTTTTCTCTTTTAGGTAAGTTAGGGTCATCAAAATTGTTTCTATTTTCTTAATAGCAGAATAATGAGATATTTTTTTGAGAATTTTTAAAAACTTTTCTTGAAAGTCAAAAGTTTACACACAATAGGATGACTATGCCTCTGAAAAAGCCCAGATGACAATGTCAAGGTTTTGGAAGATTCTGATTGGCTAATTGACAACAATTCAGTTATTGGAGGCACAACTGTAGATTAGTATTTAAGGAAAACACACTGCTTCCTTGTGTGACAACATGGGAAAATCAAAATAATCAACCAAGACATCAGGAAGAGAGATTTGAACCTCTACAAATCTGTTTTTTCTTTGGGTACAATTTCTAAACTCCTGAAGGTGCCACGTTCATTGGTTTAAACAATTATATGGCATAAATGGCACCATGAAGAAAGAACATTATGTAAAAATTTTGAAGCAATATCTCGAGACATCAGCCAGGAAATTAAAACTTGGCCACAAATGGGTCTTCCAAACAGACCATGACTCTAAACATACTGCCAAATTTGTTAAAATGTGCTTTAAGGACAACAGAGTGAATGTTTTGGAGTGGCCATCACAAAGCCCTGATCCCAATCCCATAGAATATTTGTGGGCAGAGTTCAAAAAGCTTGTTGAAGTAAAACAGCCTACAAATCTGACTCAGTTACACCAGTTCTGTTAGGTGGAATGCGCCAAAATTCTTGTGGAAAAAAAAACTTGTGGAAGAATACCCAAAAAGTTTGACCCAAGTTATCCAATTTAAAGGCACAGCTAAAAAATACTAAGGAAATGTATGAAAACTTCTGACTGTCTAGAAGTTAATAAAAAAATTCTATAAAAATTATCTTATTATTCTGGAATTTAGCAAATGTGAATCATTTTGATAATCCTAACAGACGTAAAATAGTAAACATTCAGTATGATTTTACATCAGACATTTAAAAAAATGTCAGGTGCCTTCTTCATAGTGTATGTAAACTTCTGGTTTCAACTGTAATACAATGTATTTATATAATATAAGTGTAATATAATTGATATGATACCCTTATTTAAAATATGAAATACAACTTAAAAATGAAATAATACAACAATAAAGTAACAATATGGGTGGGATGTGGGATTGGTTTATTTATAATATTAATTATTATACACATTGAAAAAACAATTAAAGCAGCTAATAGCTGGCTACTCACAGGCAAATATTGAAGTTCGTCTCTAGCAGAATCAGCAAAGCTGCTGTTTTGCTGCAGTAAGTCACATAAATTGTCCGTTTTTTTTAAAAACTGTGGAGAAAAAAGACAGTTTGATGGGCAAAAATTGTTTAGAGTTTGATGTTTGTGCAATGTCTGTTTCATGTTTTGTGTGTTACATTGTACAAGGCACTAAAAATAATAAGTGAAGCTGAGAATTACCAGTTCAAACATGGCTATGACGACTATAACTGTGGTGGCTACAGTTGCCAATAAGATGCGCACAAAAGGTCTCTTAACCACTGCTTTTGAAAGAGCCAAGAGCCACGTACATGACTTTAACTTCTCTGGAAACATCCTCTGAAAAACCGAGAAAGAAAAAAGAAAAGAAAAACAGCTTTAGAAAAACTCAAGGTTACAGAAGCAGGAATGTGTTGGAAAAAGCCACAATGTATTTGAGTGGGAGAGAAAGGATACTGGGAATGAATGTCTGATTCTATGTGTATGTATTTATGTTTGCGACACTGTAGCAGATGCAAGTTTGTTTTTAGTCTGTGCCAACAATGGACACAGCATATGACATTCCCCACATTACAGCACAGTACACAGCAAAGGAGAGACTGTTTGCTTCAGCATCTATAAAACCACAGGGGGCTGGACTTCATTGTGATAGACACACAAAAATACCCCCAAAACCATTAAGCCAACTCAATGTGTGTGCTGAGGCAAAAAAGGGATTGGTGGTCTAACCTGTATATGATCTGCAAAACAGATGCACAGAATCAACAGCAGAAAACACGCCAATACTGCAAACCCCAAGCCCAGCTCTATACGTCTGACAGGGAGAGAGAGAAAAAGAATCGTACACTTACAGGGCTAATGATCATAGTACACGCAGACACATTTAGCATTTAAGTGTTGAATTAAGGCTATTAGTTTTAGCTTGAGTTCATGTCACTTACTGCTTGGTAACCAACATCTGGATGATGAAGATGCAGATAAAGATGAAAGTGGCACAACCGATGTAATATTTAAAGTTTGGCATCTCTATAGTCCTGTACTGAAAGAACCACATACGAACACAGACACAAACACTTTAATATTATTTACAGTATTTTCCAGAATGACCTGTTTTTTATCATCTGAAGTGTGCTGCGACTTCTATTCCAAAGTGAATGCAATTTTCATTTCACATGCAAAAAAAACTCCCATTTACGCTCAAAAAAATAAATGAATCACAATGAAGTTTATCATTGACTGTTTGTAACCTTACAATTGTATTTAATTGACTGCAGTTTAGTTAAGCCCTCTGTGAAACACCAACCTGCATTTCCAGATCTTTTTTAGTAAACCATAGTGTGAGGCCGGAGATTTCTTCTGACTTCACCCACTGTCTGCACAAACAAGCACATGTACAAAACGTTACCATAAACATTACCATTCTGAACTTGAACCTATCCAAAAATGATTTAGTGTGCCTGTGTAAGACTAACTTGCTGGAGCTCAGATCATTGATGGTTGTGGTCATTTTGTCATGAAGCTCTTCATCAAACTTGGTCTTCTGTGATTTATTCCTACTGGAACAGAGGAGACCGATCATGGAAACAAAACACACCTTGTATCCATTAACTAACACACAGACACACAAACACAATGCACACGTCTAAATGTGCAAGGGCACCGTTGGACAGGACAGACGTTTGTCATGCTGTTATTGAGTTATATTTGACTGCAGCCAACAAAGGAGAAGCTTGGGTGAATATGTGTGAAGTCTGTAGTTATAAATGACTTGACTAATATTGCAGTTAATGTTCTGTGTAGTTAAGGGATCTAAACAATGAAAGTGAAACTTAAAAAAGAAATTCTGTTTGGAACTCTGTATGTGTGTGTGTGTGTGTGATGGCCGGTGCAGGCAGGATGCCATGTGTTAGTTTAAACCCCTGAGAGAGCTTGCAAGAGTCCCTTTGCAATATGCCTCAACACAGCTGAGGAAGGAAAATGCTGTTTCCTCTCACTCTCTCTCTCTCTCTCTCTCTCTCTATCTATCTTACTCTCTCTATTTGCAAGCAGAAACACAAACGCTTGTCTAACCCGAAAGTGCACTGTATTTTGAAAACACACCGTAGTAGAGGAAGGGAGTACAGTACAGCTACGTTCATGCTAACCATATAACCAGTTAGCAGTGGCTCTCTGAGCATTTGCATGGTTAGTGTTGAAACTACGGGCCCCACAGAGCTGGATGAGCCAGTATGGCTTCACTCACTTATATGTGCTCAAAGGAGGGGCGGGTAAAGAGAAGGGCTCCTCAAGAGACTCATCAAAGCTGTCAGAGAGCAACAGTGAGAAAGACATTGCTGCTTCAAAACCAGATTCAACACATACTAAAGGGGATATTCACACAAGGTTGATTCTAAATATACCTCGTACTATAGAGCTTGCTTTATGAGAGAATAAACAGACATAAATAAACAGACAGACAGACCACACAAACACCACTCACCTGTCTGGATTGTGAGTTGGTACTGATCTAAGAGGGATGTCCTAAAGAGAAAAACAAAAAGTCAGCAGCTGTGATGCAGCCGGTGAACTGCTTACATCTCTGATTCATACAGATTATTCAACTTTCATCATCATCAAGGAATTGTTTGTATGTAAAGATGATTTTAACAATGACATAATCTCTATAAAATGACTAAAAACAGAATAGAAGAACTGCAGATAATTATGATGTCTTTAGAAGTCAATGTGAGTAGAAGAGATAAACTAAATAAATACAAATATTCATTCATTCATTTTCTTTTTGACCTAGTCCCTTTATTAATCTGGGGTCACCACAGCGGAATGAACCGCCAACTTATCCGGCATATGTTTTACGCAACCCATCACTGGGAAACATCCATACACACCCATTCACCACAGACAATTTAGCTTACCCAATACACCTATATCACATGTTTTTGGACTTGTGGGTGAAACCGGAGCACCCAGAGGAAACCCACGCCAACACAGGGAGAACATGCAAACTCCACACAGAAACGTCTACTGACCCTGCCAGGGCTTGAACCAGCGACCTTCTTGCTGTGAGGTGAACTTGCTACCCACTATGCAGCCCAAGTCTTGATTACAGATTTTTAATATGATTTGATGTATTCCATTTAATAGTTAGTGATGACTACTCATGTACATGTATGTTTTCCATTAGCAACAGATAAAGAAATAATAGGCTCGTGGAGCAAAACCTGTCAATCCACCTTGGCAGAGCTTAAACAGCTTTATTCTGATCCACAAGAGGACAGAGTTACTCATGTGTAACTTGCATGAATACATTTTGATGTGCTTTGAAATGTTGCCCTGTAAAGCTAACCAAACCAAAAGGAAAATGCAACACTATCAAGACCTTGTTTTGAAACAAAGGATACAAGCACAGATCTGAAAAGCTATAAGGACTTATTTCATGGTTTTTTAGACCTTTTATGACCGTCATGGTCACATTGAAAAGTTGTATGGAAAATACTCTCCTTTTATGTAACGTTAAAAGTAACAGCACACAGTTCGGATGCGGTATGATTGTTTATAACTAATGAAGGATTAACCTTATAACAACAACTACATGACCATGCCCAGTTGCCCACAACTGTGAAAGACAGGTATTCAACCAACATCTCTGTAAAACAAAATGATGTCACGAGTCGTCTCGTAATTGCACCTTGTGATGTCGTAATGAATTTCTAAAAATAGATGTGATCATTGCAGAATAACAGACTGCGCAACCTTTTGTCTCAGGTTATTCTGAAGCCTTAAACAACATGGTAAATGACTAAATGAAATTACAAAGAAAAACCTTCACAAGAAGTCAGACAGTTAATATGCCATAAATACTGACATTAAATCAAAGGGAAAATGTGCAACAAATGCTTTCCACAGATGCAAACAGAGGAAAATGATGTGCTTTTCTTCTGTTTTCTTCATAGATCACGTCTTTGCTTTTAAATAAAGTTATTAGCTACTCCCATTTCAAAAAAATCCCACTGTGTATGTACAAAAGTTTGTTTTTGCACAATGATTAAAAAATGTACAGTTGTTCATGTAGTCTACCACAGAATCTGATCCAGCACTTGTGTTTTCTTGCATGTTTATTAGGGTTCAAAGGTTTATAAAAAAAAAAAAAAAACAAACATAAAAAAAATATTAAAAAATACATAAATTTTTGTATATTAGTATTAGTATGTTAACCTTTGGCAGCAGCACAGTGGCTCAGTGGTTAGCACTGTCACCTCACAACCAGACAATCGTTGGTTCAAGTCCCAGCTGGGTCAGTTGGCATTTCTGTGTCCATTTGTATGTTCTCGCATGGGTTTACTCCGGGTGCTCAGGTTTCCCCTGCAGTCCAAAGACATGCGCTATAGGTCAATTTAATAAACTAAATTGGCCTCATTGTATAATTTTGTGTGTGTGTGTGTGTATATGGGTAATTCCCAATACTGGGTTGCGGATGGAAGTGCATAAAACATATGCTGGAATAGTTGGAGGTTCCTAAGGTGGACCTTCCTAAAGAGTTCAGCTCAAACCCTGATCAAACACACCTGAATCAATTAATTAGGACCTGAACAGCACTTGATAATTACAGGCAGGTGTGTTTAATATGGGTTGCAACTGAAATCTACAGGAAGGTCGATCTCCAGGAACAGGGTTGGTCACTCCTGATCTAGTGTGATCAAAAACAGTGACAAAATTTGCATGTAGAATATGTAAACATCTAAAGCTTGCAGTTTGTCGCTTCCGCCTTAATGGTTCAGTGCTTGTTTTTTATCACCTCATACTTGAGTTTCTCATCAAATCTTCTGACCAATCAAATGCTCTCTAGTATCTGATTCTCTAGTATCTGACATCTGACGCCTCTCATTTGCTTATCATTTGATGTACTTGAGCTTAACAACTCTAAATGGCAGAGCTGTGATAAAAACAAAACACTATTGGCTGTTTTTTAAAAGGTGAGAAGCTACTATATGTCCATCGAATAAAAAATCTAATTGAAAATAAAATGCACAATTCAGAGCTCTTCATGTGAACTTTAAATTTGAAAATGGAGTGAACAAAACTTCACAATGTTGGAAGTTTGACAAAATAAGCCAGCTGTACGTGACAGAAAGTAAAACAGACTAAATGGTGGATAATCACAAGGCTTATCTGCACATTAATTTGATTGGCTGTTTCGATTATCGGTCATAAGATCAGTCCTTTTTTTTGGAGGAATCTGTCCCTTTAACTGTTGTATCACTGACCTTGCAATGACCTTTTCCGTTGACCATTGCATCAGTGTTGAATTCCTCTCGACTCTGCAGATGAGCAAACGGTTTGACTGCCCCCCATGACTCCAGGAAACGAGTCATGCGCACAGATGCTCGCATCTTCAAACCGTCACTCACACGAGGCTTTGTGATACTGGGAGCCATGAGTGACGAGTCTTTCGACTAAAAACACAAGCATCAACAAAACAATCAAATTCATCTACAGTAACAAATACAGTTGAAGACAGAATTATTAGCCCTCCTAAATTTCTGTTTAACAGAGAGAATATTTTTTCAACACATTTTTAAACATCATAGATTTAATAATTATTTTCTAATAATTGATTTATTTTATCTTTGCCTTGATGACAATACATAATATTTTTTCTGGCTATTTTTCCAAATACTAGTATTTAGCTTAAATATAATGGCTTGACTAGGTTTACTAGGCAAGTTAAGGTAATTTGGGAAGTCACTGTAAAACAATGGTTTGGTCTGTAGACAATTAAAAACAAATAAATAAAAACTGCTTTTATTCTAGCCAAAATAAAACAAATAAGACTTAATTCACCAGATCAAGTATTATACCAAAGACTGTGAAAAACTTCTTGGTCTATTAAACTTAATTTGGGAAATATCTGAAAACAGGAGGGCTAATAATTCTGACTTCAACTGTATGTGTGTCAGGAACACACAGCTGATATTCGAGTTAAAGTTCCTACCCGTGGGTCTATGACCAGGAACGTCTTAATGTTTAACTCTTTAAGGTAGGTGTCTCTCAGGTGACCATTGCCTTCCTCCACCTCATATGCCTTGTTCAAGTGCTTCAGGGTGGCTTCTGTGATGTGGACACGTCTAATGGAGTAAAGTATATATATATAAATTTAAAAAATGCAACAATTAGCACTAAACAACTGACATAATGAGCCAAACAGTTATCTATATGCAACAAAACACTTGTCATTTTAAAAGTATTTTATTGTTCATACCCTGGTAATCCACCTGACTCCATATGATTGGCCAAGGTGACATCATGTGACCAAACATCAAACTGCCACTTTCGTAAGCCAATCACACCACAGAGGACGTTTCCAGAGTGCACACCCACTCTCATGTTTATATCCACACCTGTGGCCTCACGCACCTGCCTGCAAGTGATGATTAGAAAAATATTCAACCTGTCATCTGCCTTATATCTTGGCCAGTGCCAAAATAGAAAAAGAAAACATAATAAGAGATGCTGTGTTAATGATATTGTGGATGTATATTCTATTTAAAACTATACACTTACTTAATGGCTTCACACATGTCCAGGCCCATTTTAACACAGTTTTTAGCGTGGTTTGGCAAGGAAACGGGGAGGCCAGACACACAGTAGTAACAGTCACCAAGAATCTTTATCCGCATACACTCATTCTCCTACAGGAGACACAAACAAAAGCACAATCTATAAATCTTCATGAACAACTATTACGTAAAATTCAAAGCACAAGCATCTAATTTACCAGCTCATCAATGATGTTTTTGTTTAAGAACTAAACCGACTGATAATCAGATTAAATTATAATAAATTAAATTATATTACACTGCCCGGCTAAAAAAGAAATAATTCGCCCGACCTTCTTGTGTGAATTCGCTGTGGCATTGTTTCAACAACCTTATGCAATGTGACAAAGTTTAGTCTTATTTTTGTCCAAGTTTGTCTTGAAAAAGGAAGAACAGGGAGGGAAACTGCTCTGTAAAGTTTACTCTAGAGCAAAGACATTATACACAGGTTAAGGTCATTTGGAAACCTTCTTCCTCAATTTGTGGCAGATACATTTTGAGCATCGTCAGCGTCTTCTGACATATGTAGTTATTTGAGAAATTAAAAACAATGCCACACATTGCATCAATTAGACTTAAAAGAATTGTAGACAAATGTACACTCACCAGCCAGTTTATTACTATATATTTATTATGTATATATTTATGTCCAACTGCTCGTTAACACAAATTTCTAATCAGCCAATCACATGGCAGCAACTCGGTGCATTTAAGCATGTAGACATGGTCAAGACGATCTGCTGCAGTTCAGAGTGATTTAAGTGACTTTGAACATGGCATGGTTGTTGGAGTGAGATGGGCTGGTCTGAGTATTTCAGAAACTGCTTCAGAGAATGGCCAGACTGGTTTAAGCTGATAGAAAGGCAACAGTATCTCAAATACTCCTTCCTGGAGCTCCAGCTTACTGAGGAAACACACAGACCATCTGCAATTTATCCCAACAACCACTCATTACACCGAAGTATGCAGAAGACCATCTCTGAACACACAACACATTGAACCTTGAGGCGGATGGGCTACAGCAGCAGAAGACCACACCGGGTGCCACTCCTGTCAGCTAAGAACAGGAAACTGAGGCTACAACTCACACAGGCTCACCAAAATTAGACAATAGAAGATTGGAAAAACGTTGCCTGGTCTGATGAGTCTTGATTTCTTCAGCGACATTAAGATGGTAGGGTCAGAATTTGGCGTCAACACGATTAAAGCATGGATCCATCCTGCCTTGTATAAACGGTTCAGGCTGGTGGTGGTGGTGTAATGGTGTGGAGATATTTATTTTCTTGCCACACTTTGGGCCCATTAGTACCAATTGAGCATTGTGTCAACGCCACAGCCAACCTGAGTATTGTTGCTGACCAGGTTCATCCTTTTATGACCACAGTCTACTCATCTTTTAATTACTGCTTCCAGCAGGATAATGAACCATGTCATAAAGTGTGAATCATCTCAGACTGGTTTCTGGAACATGATAATGAGTTCACTGTACTCAAATGACCTCCACAGTCCCCAGATCTCAGTCTAATAGAGCACCTTTGGGATGTGGTGGAATGGAAGATTCACATCATGGATGTGAAACCAATAAATCTGCAGCAACTGTATGATGTTATCATGTCAATATAGTCCAAAAATCTCAGAAGAATATTTCCAGTACCTTGTTGAATCTATGCCATGAAGGATTAAGGCAGTTCTGAAGGCAAAAGGGGATCCAACGCGGTACTAGTAAGGTGTACCTAATAAAGTGGCTGGTGAGTGTATAACAAACAATAATAATTGCAATAAGGATCCAATCTAATCTTATTTGCTTATTTAAATCTAGTTTTTTATAAAAATTGGCAAGGCAGTGTGTGTTAATGATCTGTATTATTTTATTGAAGGTATTATCTGTATAAAATGACTAAAACATAATAAGATTAGTCCTAATAATTACAAAGTCTTTAGAAGTCTGTCAATAGGTTTCTGTGAGCAGGAATAATCAACTAAATAAAACTGTATTGTAAACACAGGACCATTCTAAGGTCTGATCTTAGTTAACAAGAAACTAATACTTATTTTTTCATATACTTATTTAAGGATGGATCAAATTAATCAAAAAATACACAAAAAAACCTTTATAACAAAAAGGATTAATAAATACAAAAATGATAAACTGTTTTTGGACTTTACATAAGAGCATAATCATAGTCATACATAATTATACATACTTTTGCAATCTGGTCAAATTTCCCAAAAAGTTCATTCAGCATGAGCACAAGCTCCTTAGGAGAACAGTCACTGGCCAGACGTGTGAAACCCACAATGTCAGCATAAAGGATGCTAGCAGAAACAAAAGAGAAGACAAATAAAGGACACGGTTATGTGTTTCTGCAGTTGATTATGTAACTGAAACAAAGAGAGAAAAAGTGTTCAGGTCAGGTCAAATCTCAAGTCAGGACAAATAGGAAGAGTCTTTTTTACTGAGTAAAACATCAGTGGAATGCAAAAAAAAAAACTAAACACAGCTCATAAAAATTAACCCTTAAGACAGCTGTTCTCAAAGCCAAACACAATCACACACACACACAATCCATGTCATCACACTCCTAATGAACAAGTTCAAAAAGAGACTCCATCAGTCTTGCCAGGTGAACACCTTTTTATTGTTTGTTCTCTCTCTCTAACACACACACACACACACACACACACGCACAGGTGAGTGAATCTGTGTACTGCTGGAGCAGCTGTAAAGGGAGGCAAACAAGCAACCTTTCTAAATATAAACGGCTGCCTGAGAACGGAGCATTGTGGGCATGGGACTTAGAATATTAATAGATGCACCCCAGCCCCCCTCTCTACTCTTGGGGTTGATGGGAAATAAAACTAATTAAATGAGTGTCCTCATGATGAGCACTCTGAGAGTCGGGGCTAACAGACTGACCATTCATTCGCTATCAGCACTTGATTAATGAGGAAGGGCTAAATTAGAGCTTGGAAAACACAGAACAACACGCAAGCAGCTCTAGATTTCTATGAGTCTGTGATTGTGTGTGTGTGTGTGTGTGTGTGTGTGTGTGTGTGTGTGTGTGTGTTACCTGACGTTCTCATGTCTCTTCACATAAAGACTGTGGAAGTTGTTGTCCCGGACCATCCGCTGCTGTTCTTCTTTATCTTTGCACTTGCAGCGCTCCATAATGGCCAACTTCATCTTCATGGAGATGTACACAGGAAGCACTGACTGTAAAAGGTTTTCCTACAGGACAAGCAAAAACACATTTAAAGGTTTGAAGTTTACTGTGAAAGCCACATTATATTGTATCCAAAGTACTGTCTTCACTGTTACCCTGTGGGTAGAAATGTTTGTCTTCAGGGTTCAACATCAGGGCATTGTTTCAGAGATCGACTATATTCAACATGCACTGTTGTCAGAGAGGTTAACAGCCTGCCATTAAACTGTAACTTGCTTTTCACTGTTCGCTTTACATGATGTCACTTCCCCGACAACAATCAAAACAAACAGTGAAACAACAACTCCTCTGAATGAAAAAGGACACAACAAATTGAATTATAAAACGGTGAATCTATTTAGGAAGATACACTGATTAAGTTTTCAATGACAAGTGAATATTCAGCTGTCAACTCTGAAGATGAATGAACAATGGAGTCAAAAGCAAATTGCCAAAGATAATTTCAAAGTTTAAAGGAAAACAAATTAAAGTGGCATTTATTTAAGCATGATGCCTTCTGAATCTCTAAAGCTAAACTCAAAGTTTGAATGATGTCTTGTATGCTTTGATTATTAAAGAGACATTTGTAGTTTTAAAAGTGTGTTGTTGCTAAGCAGTGGCTGAGGTGTTTCAGTGGTTGCTAGGACAGAAGAAGGGCATTTTGTTAAGGAGTTCTGGGTGATTCTTCAGCTAAGGGCACACTGTCAGTCCTGTCGCTTAGAAAATATATGCCAACTCAATTGACCACATGCTGTAGGACTCTGCTGAGCTTTTTTAAGCAGACACTAGGGTATACATTCTGTGTTTATGATTTTATTTAATCGCCAGAATGGTGTGCTCATAATGTATACGTGCAGACAGTTTTATAAAGTACAACTTGAAGATATTGCCTTGATTCTTTTAGTTGGTTTAACAAGCTTTTTTAACTTCTTTCACAATTAAAAATAATGTATGAGATGAGCAACAATAAGCAAACAATGTTCCTTATAAATAAAGGGATAAAGAGATAAGCACATGTCTACTTTAAACTACCACCAATGCATATTATTTGTTCTATAACTTCTGGAGAGAGATAACACAGTTTGGATAAAGACTAGACTCTTTTCTGCTCATGTAAACAGAGACTGTCAAATGAGGCACACTGTTGCTGGTTGACAGTAATACTGTAAAATTGCACTGTAAAGAAAGCAATTATACAGAGACCTGGAAGGGATGTGATGATAGGGGAAAAATGGGTGGAAGAAAAAAAAAAAACAGTGATAGAAAAAAAAAATTTCATTTTTTTTCCCATATTTCTCGTGTATTTTTAAGTTTAAAAGCTCATTGAAATGAATATAAAAACATCTGCATTCATTTTCTTTCCATTAAAGCTTTGCATTGATCATCACCCTTCGTACCCAACCTCTGAATCAGTGAATGTATGTATACGGACGCACTCACTCTGTATGATAAACTGACCCAAGATCAGCTTCTTTACACGCCATTCGGGTGTGTGTTTAAACAGATAAATTATCTTAATAATAGGTAAGCATCTCCATCCTCATTCATTCATTTTCTTGTCGACTTAGTCCCTTTATTAATCTTGGGTCGACAAAGCGGAATGAACCGCCAACTTATCCATCATGTTTTTACGCAGTGGATGCCTTTCCACCCGCAGCCCATCTCTAGGAAACATCCACACACACACACGCTCATACGCTACGGACAATTTAGCCAACCCAATTCACCTGAAGCGCATGTCTTTGGACTGTGGGGGAAACGGGAGCACCCGTAGGAAACCCACACGAAGGCAGGGAGAACATGCAAACTCAGAAACAGAAACAGAAACGCCAACTGAGCCGAGGTTCGAACCAGCGACTTCTTGCGACTTCTTGCATTAAGGCGACAGCACTACCTACTGCGCCACTGCGTCGCCCATCTCCCTCCTGCATGTTTTATTTTAAAGACAACTAGTTTTCATACATAGATTCATACATTAATTTTTCTTATTTACCAGAGATTAACACAGCAGAATGAACCATCAACTATTTATAACAACTGGCATCTGTTTTACGCAGCGAATGCCCTTCCAGCTGCATATACTCTCACACTTAAACACGCACTCATACACTACAGCCAATTTAGTTCCTCCAATTCACTCATAGCACATGTCTTTGGGCTGCGGAGGAAACCCACGCAAACACTGGGAGAACATGCAAACTCCACACAGAAATGCCTACTGGCCCAGCCAGGGCTCAAACCAGCGACCTTCTTTCTATGAGATGACAGTAAAAATATTATAAAAATAATATTGTGTATGTTTTAACATTATCTAAGAGTAAGTGAATTAACCACAAAGCACTTCCTGGAACTACTTGAGTCTACATGAATCACGTGACTTAACCGCCTGCTGTTCACTTTCACTTTCTTTCGCAACTCCCCAACCCTCTTCGTCTGCGACACACCTCCACCATCCAACCCCCTCATACCCCCACCCCCGCTCTCCACTTACAGTACGTGTGCGATACCTCTTCATCCTCGGGTAACATGCCGGACCCACAATTCACAAATTCACAAATTAAGCACTAAACACAACATATACTGTACAAAAAAACTTCTAAATGGATCAAAAAGAGGACATAATGCCACCCCCCCTCTTCCTCATCATATTCCAATGTGGCTCGTTACAGTTCTTTTGAGGTGTAGAAAACACATCTTACTGCAAAAATGCTTGTGTGCATGAAGGAATTCATGACTCCTTTACACATGCATAAGCTCTTCAAAGGTTCTCAACAGATAAACATGTATGCACATACAAAAAGCGTGTTGAGCCCAGCTCACAGCAATCTTTTCAATGTGCCGCACACTCTGTCACAAAATAAAAGCAGGTTCAGACATAATAACATGAATTCTAAGTCAGTCAGGACAGAGTCTATAATTTTCTACTTTGGTTTGAGCCCAACAAACCAACAGAACCAAACTGCAAATGAATAAACACACTAAGAGGAGTTACAGCTGAAAAAAATGTGGTCTCAAGTTGGGGATTTCAAAAAAGTAACCCAACACAATACTATAAAAAGGTTTCTCTAAAACAACCCCTTAAATAAATAACAGATAACAATAGAAACAATAGAAAGCTACACTACTCTGCACTTTACGATTCCAAAATGATACACATAGAAACATGCATAAGTACATTTAGTTTGCATATGTTTCTTCAATGCTGTATGTTTGTTTTTCCTGTGTGTGTGTGATGTGTAGAAGTGAAGTTGCATGAGCACCTGCTGTCTCTTCTCAATCTCCAATTTCATGCGAATGCCCAGGCAGCGAAGAGTATCCTGAAATGTCTGCTTGAGAGCTTTCTCCATCAGGACCTTATGAAAAATCCCAACCATAATTCCACACCCAAACACCACAGCATTTGACAGCAACTGGACAGAGGGACAGAAAAAATCAAGCGTTTAACATCAAGGTGTTACATCCCTTGCAGCTTCTTTACATATTGGTTTGCCAAAGCAGGAAACCTGATTCGGCCAATCAGATGGTAGACTTCCTTTTACCTGAAAGGTGATGGGATTGCTGTGGAGTTGGGCCACTGTGAGGTACACCGAAAGAACAATGATGTGAGATAGAGAGGAGATGATACTCAGGATTACAGCATAGCTCATCTGGAACGGCAGCATGGTGTAGACTGTAATGATGATGAAGAGGAAGAAGGGCACCTGGAGAGAGCGAGAATGAGAATTGAACATTTATTTCAGACTGATGAGAATTCAATCACTGATTATAACCCATGTTTCAAAGCATGTAAAGTGTCTGAAGCTAGTGTTACCTGATCCCATGGCTGTATTTGTAAATCACTTTTTGTGCTGAAAATAAAGGTGAAGCCCATTGTGAGGTGTGTGGCCCACACGCCGAGGCCTAGCAAAGTTCTCCATCTCTGAGAAAGGGTCTCTGTACAGACTAATACAAACACCGCCAGGAACAAGCACAACGCTCCTCCCACAACTCCCACAAATATACCATGATTCTGGGCCTTCTGAAACACACATGGAGAGAGCAAAGTGTTAAGGGCAAACATGCACATCACATATACCTCATTCAGAGGGTTTGGAAAATGCTGCATGTGTGTGTGTGGTAGTGGGTGTAAGCTTTGATAAAAAAAAAAAAATAATCCGTTCAAAAATACATTTGCTAATGCTTGCTCTTGAAAAACTTGTGAATGTGTGTCTTTAAAATATGTCTGTATATGCGGAAACATTTTGCACATTAGCTGTCATGGAGCCATTAAGGGACTATTGCTTCCTACTCTGTTCATTTTCTTCTCCACTAATGGTAGAAAAACACAAACATAAAAGACAAGGAAGCCAAAAACAATCCTTCAAAAGCTCCAGAGATCACTCGATTCCATCTGTCACAGAGATAGCAGCACTTTAAATACAGGCACCATTTCACTGAGCAATAATAGTTACAACACTTTTGCAAAGAGGTGGGTAAATAAATCGTTACAACTAGAAAATGGACATACATTTACATCTTTTTGAAATGTATAAATCAGCCAGGTCCAATGTGGACTAAATGTGTCACTCTGTCCTAACGTTATCCCAATTTGAATCCTCCTGCACACAAGGCCTTGAAGCGAGTCCTTCAACGACAAAAGAATAAAGGATACAACTGAAATTCACATTTTTCATCTCTCCTTTTAATGTATTAGCTTTTAGTTTACCCACATATCTACCAATATGAATGCTAGAAATACATTTACTTTAAGAAGTTCACGTTGACTTGATCTCATTAAGATATGTTTTTAAATAGTTTATACTTAAGATAGTTTTCATTGAATAGTCCCATAGGGAACATATTTGAACAGGTTTTGAACTGTAAATATCAATGCCACTCATCAATGGCAGCTGCTAGGCAACAGCTAGGCAACAATAGCAAGCATGAATAGGCTAGACAATCCCATTTAAAAACATTCACGTAATTCAAGAAACAACCAATTCAAACTACTGAATCATTCACTTGGTAGATTTGTTCTGAACAAACTCCAATGCAAATTATTTGCACTGCAATGCACAATGGATTAATCTGCATTAGCTTACCTCTGTTTACAGTTTTAGCATTTAAAAGATGGTACAACTTTTTATTAAATAAATATCAATTCTCATTATTGCCAAAGACTATAGATTACACAAGACATGTCACTGGTATAGTTTTGAATAGAGGAAAGTGTAAGAGTCAATATGGCGAATGAAGCCCTGCCTACTAGTACAGGAGCCAATCATCGATCAATATAGACTGACGTTTCTCCGGGGGAGAAGCTCGAATCAGACGTGTGCTTTTACGACAGTTTGTCGTCAACAAACTAGGGATGGGAAGATTAACCGATATGTATCGATACGCGGTCATGCGCGTGCACGATGCGAGTGCATCGGTAGAGCAGCAGAGGATGAATGAAATTTTGGAAGCAAATCGAGATGCATCGGTTTTTGCGAGATGCATCGGTTTTTCCGAGATACAGCTTATATTTTTAATATAGAATGTATTTTTTATTTATTAACAAGTGTTGTTAACCTGTTTTTGGCGCATAATTTAATCGACCTACATAAAGTAAGCCTTAGCAACGGATTTGCGGATGTGTACACTCACACTACAACTCAGTGTATCAGGTGTGCGGATGAAGCTAGTGGTGCGCCCTCAGAAAGCGCGAGAAGCAAAACAAACATTTTATTCCCCACTGAGTTTTAAATCTAAAGTATGGCAAGCAACATTATGGATTTAAGGATGGACGACATGACAGGACAGATGCAATCTGCAAAATGTGCCGCGCATCTGTAAAATACGCGGGCAGTACGACTAATCTGATATCTCACTTGAAGCGGCGCCACGGTGTTGTTGTGAAAGCATCTTCCAGTGTTTTTGCATCCCCGGCTTTCGCACTGCTTCAACCAGCTCCAAAAGTGGTGAGAAAAGCATTGCAAGTTTTTTTTTTCTATGCGCAACAGTTCTCTCGCTCTACGCCAATAACGAATGCTATTGCATTGTTCATCTGCAAAGATATTCAGCCTAGTGTCACGGAGAACGAAAGTTTTAAACACCTCCTCCTGTTAATTTTTATTTAATAATAATAATAATAATAATGATAAAATTAATTGGGTGTCACGGTGGCACAGTGGGTAGTTTGACCACCTCACAGCAAGAAGATTGCTGGTTTGTTATATTTTTATTAGCCTGTTGTTTACAGTGACAGTGATGTTTCAAAGCAGCATAACACTGCTAGTTCACAACCTTAAGTTTTGAATAATCAGTGGCAAAATATATCTTTGTAAAACTTGTTTTCATAGTTGAAAAGTTAAATCACAATTCTTGTTGTGCAAATATAAACATTTATAATATATATTGCACTTATACATTCTGTTTATCTTGAAAATACTTAAATAATATGTGCTATATGTTCTAAAATGGCCCTCTACTGTAAACTGACACTCTGGCTCTGTGAGAAAAGAGCCAGTTTGTAAAAAAAAGTCTTGGTTTTGCTTAGTTAATAAATAATCAAACTCATTCAATGGCACAGCATCCTCTTTCACATAATCTCATAAACTTGATCTAATTAGTTAGTGCTGAAATATCGCATCGTATCGTGATATGGGTGTGAATCGTATCGTGTTGCATCGCAATATGTCACAAATGTATCGCTAATATATCGGATCGTATTCTTTGTATCGAGATACGTATCGGATCGGCATTATAGCTTAGATGCCCAACCCTACAACAAACACACTGGAATCTCATAGAATGCTTGCTTCACAGACACAAGAAATACATCCAGATAAAGCTTAAAATCTATACTTTAAATGAACCAACTACTTGAAAACAACGCAAATATGAAACGAACGCAAGGTAGGTCCGTCTTGTGAAACGCACATCACATGTCAGCAATTACTCAGACGCACACAAACTTGTAAATAAAGATTCGCTGTCATTTCTGGAGGAGATTCGCCATTAATACCAAGATGTGAATTACTTCAGAAGACCAGAACAATGTGATTATCATTATCCAGAGGATGATAATGTGTAACACGGCCATGAATGAGGTTGGTGTCCTGATCTCGTTCCTTTCGAGTGCGTATGTGCATTAGCTTGGGCAACCAGGAAAAATACAGATTTCGTTTGATTCAAACATTTAGAAACGAAACTTATGAGACAATTATTGTTTAACCTCATTGGTAATTCAAAATATGTAATGTAATCGTAAGCTTGGCTAACAGTTTGGAAGAATTTTAATGTTTCCCCATTCAGACAGAATACCCAAGCACACTGCCTGAGAGGCGTTTTAAAGATGGCAGGCGAGTGAATTGACTTGCCTTAAAGAGACTTTGTTATTAACTAATGACTTATTGCCTGCCTATTATTATGTTAATGGATGTTTTTTTGTACTTAAAAGCACACATTCTGCATGATCTTATTCTACATTGCTAAATACCTAAACCAACTACTACTTTTGAGGCAAAAGTCATAGTTAATCATTCATTAATAGCGATAATTGTACCTTAAAATAAAGTGTTACCATATTTTAACCAGTTGAGTAACTTTTGGACACCAGTTAAATATTATAGGGTTAGAATTAGGGCTGCACTATATTTAGTTTCAGCATCGATATCACAATGTGTGCATTCGCAATAGTCACATCGGAAGATATGCAATGTTGAGTCTAGATTATAGTTGACCGGAAGCTAGAGAATTGTATTTAATTACTGTAATTATACTAAATTTATATGAATTATGATTTATGGCAAAAAAAATTCATTCGTACAACTTGTTTATTTTTTTCTAGTCCAAATATGTCAATGCAAAAACATGACTATTTCACTTACCCCACTGGCAGATAATTTTGCTTGTTAAACTCTTAATTTTGCCTTATTTCTTTGGAAGCTGAAAGCAAAACAATTTCTTTACTTGATCAAGAAGTTTTAGATATTTGTGGTTCTTTCTTCATTTCTCACTTAAATGATCTAAGATGATTTAGAAGATCCTGGATCTTTTAATCTTGATAACTGATCTCTGGCTAATTTGGTTTTTTACACAAGTTCACAAATCAGATTAATATATCTGGATGAACTTAGCTTTAGAAAAGCATTTTTCCATTGTGATAATAAAATTATTGTACCCGAATATTGTTAGACTCACCTATAATGCTATTCAAGCTATCTTGTGTAACTGTATTCCTATCGCAATATTTAGCGCAGAAAATAAAATAACGCAATATCAGATTTTTCCAGTATCATGCAGCACTAGTTAGAATCAATAAAGAATAAAGCAACACTATAAAATGACACTATCAGACTACAAGTCACTACCAGTGTGGGCAAATCACAGCATTGGGTCGACCCAGCCACTTACCCACCCACCAATATACACACTCACTACAGTGACTCCTCCACTTATGTTCACCCAATTAAACCAACCACTCTGAATTACCACTGAGATACTTCACCGACTTCACTTTCAAACAGAGCAGAAAGGCATACCTCCATCCACAAACAATCCTACACACACTTCCATCATCCTATGGGCATTGAAAGTTCAGATAAATAGTAAAACCAAATACACGCACACATACACACACAAAAATGCCCACGCAAAGAGAGCTGGTTGTAATTCTGTTCCTCCCACGGATGGTTGGTGTTGAGAGAGTAGGTTCAGAAGTTCGCACAGATGGTATAGTTCTTATCTGCTAAAGGGATGAACAACAGTGGTACGGAAGAAGCGTTCACGGCCCCTCTTCACATCCAGCTGACTCCAGAGGAGGTTTATGTGAGAATGTGCCAAAGATACGATGGAAAGAGCGAGAAGGACCATCGCATGACGTGCTGCATATTTCCCCAAGAAAAACTATACGCACTTGGCAAAAACCTCCAATTATTACAATTAAAAACACTGTTTCCTGTCATGCAGAATGCCAGTTCACATCAGCTTTTCAGCACTGTAATCATCGGGCCTCAGATTATGCAATCACAGTGGATCAGCACCTCAGAGACC